TTTTCAGTGCCACTATAGAGTGTCTTGTGCATTTTTAAAGAGAAATTAGTGCAATTATGTAGATATTTAACCACAAATATAATGAAAATATATTTCTATCTTCAGCTTGTGTAGGCATTGGCAAGCCCTCTTCCAGAATGCAGTACCAACCTATGCGACCAACACTGTATGAGGAATTATTTATTATCTAATTGTCTTTATTTTTCAAACCCTACAGTGTAAACTTTGTGGTCAGAGGCCTTTAATTTTATTCACTAATTTATTTTTAATTGCAATTATTGCAATTTTTAATGAAGGAAATATATTCACCAATTTACTTTTAATTACAATTTTGCAATTTTTAATTAAGGAAATAAATTTGCTTTGACCTTGAAGGATTTATTTGTTTAAAAATAACTGTGGTAAGATTGATTGATTGATTCTTCTCTGAGCATTTTTCCCACAGCTCTGTTTCTTTACATATAACATTTATCTGCCAAAAATGCTTTTCTTGTTTTGACCATTCTCAGTAAGGGTTATTTCACCCCAGGAGATACCGTAAACAAGCAGGTGCAATGTCCGCATGGTTTGGAAGAAGATAGGCCTTGGCTGAGCAGGTGAGCTCCAAGCAATTGTAAATAACTACCTTCTAAATAAGTATAATTTATAGTTTTATTTATATATCATAAACATTTATTAAGCTGTAATATTTACAATAAGATTTCTGTTCCCGAGATCTACAAATATATCTACATAACACTAATGACAATATTTTAATCAACAGGACCTATATATATATATATATATATATATATAGCTTTGAAAAAATGAAAAAAAGACTGATATATTTACATCTGTGTAAGATACCATGCAATCAATTTCTCAAAGCTAAAGAAACTAAAAAGGATTGCATGCACACGCACACGCGCGCATACACACACACACACACACACACGCATGAACATTCTATTACAAGATTCAACATTTCTCCTTTTGCTGGGTCTGATTATGAGAGTCATCACTGTGCCTATGAGCTGGGTCCAGTAATAAGACATCCCACCTGTGGTAAGATCCGCATGTAACAGTCACTATACAAACTGAGCTATATCCACAAGTGAGAGTCAAACCCTCAGCAGTGGGCTCTGTCCATGTGTCAGGATGATAATCCTGTCAGCTGGGTTTGCATAGAAGAGTCACAATCTCAGCTTTGTTCCGGGTTCTGTTATGAAAATGTCTGCGAAACCTAAGGGCTTTATATTATATGCATGAGTGTGGTAATCTGCTCAGAACTTTCTGCAAGCAGAAGACTCGGGACCTTATCCAATGCCCTAAGCCCAGCTGCAAGAATCAACACCTCTTCTATTGGCTAAATCAAAGTAGGAGAGTCATTATTGCACCTGTGAGCTTGGTCAAGAAATGAGTCATCATCTCACACGTTGCTGAATTTACATATAACAGTCACAACTCTAACTGTGGACGATGTCCATATGTGAGATTCAGGACCTCACCAGTGGATTCTGTCCATGTGTAAGAGTGACAATTTTAATTGTCGGCTGGGTGTGTGCCTATGGGATGCACAATCTCACCTGTGTGTTGGGTCCTGTTGGGACACTCTCTGTGTCACCCAAGGATGTTATAGGATATGTATGAGTGTCATCACCTGTAACATTACCACAAGTAGGAAACAGAGGACCTTACCTATTCCCCTAATTCTAGCCATGAGAGTCAAAATCTTTTCTATCGGTTGGGTTCACATATGAGAGTCATCATGCCCGTGAGCTAGGCATAGGTATGTTACAATCCCACCTATGGAAAGACAGCAGGCAGGAGAGTCACATTGATTGAATGTTGGTCTAGGAGTATTTGAATAAACCTGTGTTCAGGGCCCTGGTAAGAAAGTCAGATTACTTGAATGCTGAGCTCAGCAATATGTCACAATGCCTCTTGTGGGCAGGGCCCAGCCTAGAGATCCACATCACCCCTTACCCTGTGAAAAGCAATTTTCAGGGCTCAGCAACGAGTGGAAAATCACATCATGTAGGTTCTGGCCCATTGGATAGGTCACGATGCCTTTTTTGGCAGAATTCAGGCAGCAGAGTCACATCATTTGGGTGTAGGGCCCAGCAATATGCCAGAATCCTCACTGAAGTCAGGGTCCGTGCAGGAAGAAAGAGTCATGTCACCTAGCAGCTGGGCAAGGAATATGTCACAGTCCACCTGTGGACTCAGCTCTGGCCACAGGGTTACATCTGAGTGCTAAGTTCAGCAAAATGTCACAATGCCCTCTCTCATACAGGCCAGAGCAGAAATAAATATGACATCACCTAGGTGCTATGCTCAGCAATGTGTCACTATTTATTCTGTGGACAAGGCCCAAGGAAAAAAAATTACATCACCTAGGTGATGAGCCCCGTGATATGTCACAATGTACCCTTTGTTTAGGACCCAAACAGAAGTGAAAAGTCACATCATTGTGTCTTGGGCCAAAGAATATGTCAAAATGGCTCGTATAAGAAATGCTTTGGCAGAAGAGTCCGGTTACCTAGGTGCTTGGCCCAGAGATACATGGACATTTTCCTGTGGGCAGAGCACAGGCAGGTGAGGAAGGTCACATCACCTAGGTGGTAGGCCCAGAGATATGTCACAATTCCCCTTTTAGGTGAGGCCAATGAAGAAAAGTCACATCACCCTGGAGATAGTTCCCACATGATGTCACCTTGCCCCTGTAGATAGGGCCCTGATGGAAGCTGAAAATGACATTACCTAAGTGC